TATGGTCCTGTGAAGCAGACAAAAACATGAACATGATCACGTGGCTTTGCGTGGTTAAACGACGTACATCTATTAAAACTTAGGGTGTTCTCTCACTTTTGTGACATACTGTATAAACATGTTTTTGAAGCGCTGATCATTGCAGCCAATCACAGACGTATCCAATGAGCGCGTGAGCAACGGCCAATCATAGGCGTTAATGATGCCGCTCAACAGCTCAGTCTCACATTTCTAAATTTCAGTATCGACTTGGTACCAAATTTGGTACTTTTGACATCACTAAAGTTGACCCACATTTGGTCTGTGACCCCTGAAAATGTGTTTATAATTTACGAATTTACCCATGGACCCACATTAAGATCTCCATATCTCCAGGATTGAACCATACAGGGCCTTTAAAATGAGGATACCAAAAGTAAACGTTTGTTAAGAACCAGAATCTAAAAGGATAGTAAGATATGATGCAAACTTGGGCAAAATTACACAAGAAGAGCTTTTTCCCTGTTTTTGAAGTGTCATTGTTGGCATAATGCAAAAAGATTGCTAAAGTCAACCGATTTAACTAATAAACCCACCAATATCTGTGTAAAAATCCAAACTTTGCGCAAGGAACCTCGAGTTGAGACGTTTGCAATGTGTGCGGCTAGACGTCTGACCGTCCCAACACTACTGACCCGCTGTGCTTTTCTCAGTCTTTACTTTAATAAACATATTAAATAGCCCTGAAAGGAGAGAAGATTTTAAAGAGGCCATAGTGTGCCCTTTTACCAAGTCTTGGTGTTGTTTCTGGCTCTACTAGAACAGGTTTTCCTGCTTGAATGTTGATTATTCTCCTCATATTCTCCATTGTTGCGGCTCCACTTTTCCCAGTCTGTCAGTAACGCTCTGTTTACTTCCTGTCTCTATGAAGCCCCTCCTTCTGAAAAGCACACTGTGCTCTGATTGGTCGGCTGGATCAGTGTGTTGTGATTGGTCAAGTGCTTTGAGTATGTTTGGGAAATGTCCCTCCCCTTTCCATAACCACCAGTTTAACACACTACTAACTAACTCAACCAGGCCCCGCCCCTTTATTCTGCGTATTAATTATTATAATGAGGAATATTGAGACGTGTTCGTTCCTGGAAGAAACACTGATATATTACCTCGGGGACTTCGACATCGTGATCAGGTGACTCTCCGCCGTCGTCGCTGGTCTTCCTCTTGCGTTTGTTGCGAACGCTCTGGATGAAGTTCTTGTGGAAGTCACAGATGTACAAATGCCGAACCTACACAGAAAACAAGGATTAGGTGTCTTTAATATGCAGGAAACTGGACTCAAGCACATATTACCAATGACATTTAATGACATGACTGTCAGTGACACAGTTTAGAGAAAACTATATTATGTTTACATGAAGACGCCTGGAAGTGAACACTGACAGGACAAACACATCATCCAATCAGCATCAGATCCTCATATTAGAGTAATTTCTGAAGGATCATGTGACACTGACTGAACACTGGAGTAATGATGCTAAACATCAGCTTTGATCACAGGATTAAATCACACTTTACTATATATTCACATAGAAAACAGCTGATTATTATACATAATAATAATAACACTTCACTGTTTTTACTGTATCTTTGATCAAATGAATGCAGCCTTCGTGAGCAGAAGAGACTCTTTTAAAAACATACCAAATAGTAACGTTAGTTTCCAAACTTTTTACCGGTACTGTAACTTACATGGAGAACAGGGCGATAAAATGAAGTGCTATACATCATAATGAATCTATATCGATAATTCCACAGAAATGACAATTGAGAGAAGCGGCTTACGCTCTTGTCGATGTCCAGCTTGAGTTTCCTCTGCGAGATGCTCTTCTGGATGCGCTTGCTGAAGGACGCGTTGCCCGCCGGACGCCCGCACCGCTCCCCGTCCTCGATCAGACAGCAGCTCTGCCCGAAGAACGGCGGCGCGGGCGGCCCGTCGTGGCTGTCCTCCTCCGTGCTGAACCCGTTCATACCGGGCAGAAACGACTCGACGTCAACGCAGCTTAGCGAGCTCGACGCGCTGCGAACCAACGGAGCAACGGACGGAGAATCTCAGCAACACTGCGGACCCGGGCCGCTAAAGATCCCGCGGCTTCACTGGATCACCGGACTCGGTCCCGCGAGCAGAACCGAACGTGAGTGCGCGGAAACTGCGGATCTGACGCGCGCCGAACTACCGAGCAACAGTCGAGCTCATCTCAACAATGTACGCCGTACAATGAAACATGTCCTGAGAGAAACCGGAAGCTGTGGCTTTGAACGCCCATTGGTTGGTTTCCGACGAAGGCGGGCCGCCAAGCTCGTGTCTTTGATTCCGATTGGCTAAAGCGCCTGTCGATCAAACTTAACTTCCTGATCGCTGCCATTGATGTCATGAAGTAACGCCTCAGTGCCAGTGCTTAGTGCTGCACTTCAAATGACTCACTCACACACACTTTAGACTCTTTCATGGAACTTCAGTGACTAAAACCGAATGTCTTAGTATGAAATTAAACGACTTTTTCTTTCGAATAGCCTATCTTGACGCGTTAAGGATACGTTGTTGTTTGAGTTATCCTAAAAAGCGCTATCGTCATCGAGATGTACGTCGATAAAGCAAATAAATGGGTTACCAACTTTTAAAGGGGAGGAGAATGCGTTTTCCATCTTTTGTTATTGACATCGGCGGAAGAAAAACACTCAAAAAGTGCTTTATTCGCGGTCAAACAGTGTAGGTTATTTGAAATTATAATATTCATCATGTGTAATATAGTCCTGTGATGCAAAATCATAATTTCACCAATCCTGTAATAAAATATTGTATATCATCCTTAAAATTCAAGACAACAAAAGTTTGTTGAACTGTTGTGGCCTTCATAATTCTCTATTCAGAATAAGACCACAACACTTTTACAGTATGTTGGCACTAAAAGAGAAGAAAAACATGATACAAATGAAATAAACATAACTGAACAGATGACTCCAGTAATAATAATAATGTATGATGTGCCATCAGAACCATTTTAATGCATCAGTATAAAAACACCAGCATTCCCAAGATCTCCCCCCCAAACCATCAGATTCAACAAACAAAAGCTGGTCTTCAAATAATTCAGCTCAAAAGTACAGCATTAGATTTCAGTCCGATCATTTTTGCATGTGCTTTTGACACAGTGGTCCACCAGAAACAATAATAGCAGAGCAATCACTCATTTTAGGAAACCCTTTAGTTACAAAACCGTCAATCCTTGAAAATAGGCTCTGAAAGTGCTGGACAGATCAACTTTAGGAGAACATTTAAAAGTGCTTGAGAGATAATCTGCAAAAATATTCAATGGTGAAAACAGGTTAAATAATTCAACGACACAGTCTGGGTTTGAAGGCACATGGACTGGGTTCAAGTTTATCTGTGTGCGTCAGGAACCGAACGCTGGGACATGAGGCCGTCTTTGGGCTGGAAGCGCTGATCGATCATGCAGAACCCGTGTCTGTAGCGGGTCATTCCACACTGTTGATGATCACACGAACAGGACCGGATATCTTAGACTTTCCCTAACAGAAAACATGTACAGTCAAACCAACATTATTCAGACTCCTTCAACACTTCTCAGATCATCAGTTTATTCGCTATAGTTCAGCTAATGGTGATAAACATGAGCAGAACTCAGTGGATATTTGACTGGTTTTGTCCGTCCTTCTGTTGGACTCACACATGAATTATGTTGAATATCTGTTCAATTTAACGAAACAATTAGATAATACCAGTTTAGCTCAACCAGTGACCAAGCAAAGCTTCATGTTGTTCAGTGAGTGTGTAATTACAGAAAACACACTTCAGCAGAACATCATCCGCTCAGTGGAGGAGTCATCACTGTAGTCGCTGTATGAAGAATATTTGGGTGTAATACGTCAAAGTTTACTTAATTTTGCTCTCCTCGCTTACATTAGTGAACTATAGTGTCTTGATCACACTAGTGAAACACTATCAAAAGTTACATCTGGTGTCTGAATAATGTTTTGTTTGGCTGTATGCCATTGAATTTTCATCATTCTAGTTAACAGGGTCGAAACACCTTTAAGTTTTTCTAATAAAATATGTCCCAAAAAAAAAGTATGTAAACACAAACAGAAGATGGATAATAAACCACACACATTTCTGTGATCGACCCGGATAAACGGGCAGGTTAATAAAGGGAACATTCATCTTGGCCTCTCCTGAAGGATTACAGCAGTGTTTGCAGGGCGGCGCGCGCGAGTGTGTGTGAGTCAGGAATACACAGATCCGATCACATCTCGGCAGGGATGCACCGATATGGACATCTGAACCGATAACCGATATATCGACGATAAATCTAAATCTCCATATCAACTTTTCGGTATCACTTTACATTAAGGTTCATTCGTTAAAGGAGAACTCCGGCGCTAAATGAACCTTTGGTCTAATAAAACATTGGTACCTAGTCAACCGTTCTCTGTGATCTGTTTTCATGATAATCAAATGTAAAGAGTTTTATCTCTAAAAACTGTTTAGCGTATAATGCTAGTAATGGGGGCATTGAGTAAGTAAAAAGAAATCGCTAGTTTATACCACTAACAAGACTCAAAATAGCCCCACACTAACGCAGTAACACTCCAGGCTCCATACATACAAAACGAAGCATTGAGAACTTTGTAAGTGTACAGACCGTTTAATAAGAAGATACTTTATGAAGACAGTTCACTTCGCGTATACAGACAGGAGCCATCTTAAAAAACAGTCTCGATAAGTCGAACCATGAGTGATCTGAACTGTATGAACTTATCGTGACTGTTTTTCAATGCTTGGTTTTGTATGTATGGACCCTCATTATGTTACTGTGTTAGTGTGGGGCTATTTTGAGCCTTGTTAGTGGTATAAACCAGCGATTTCTTTTTACTTACTCAATGCCCCCATTACTAGCATTATACGCTAAACAGTTTTTAGAGATAAAACTCTTTACATTCGATTATCATGAAAACAGATCTCAGAGAACGCTTGACTAGATAACAACGTATAAATAGACCAAAGGTTCATTTAGTGCCGGAGTTCACCTTTAATATATCGAGCTAATCCTCTTATCTGACCGATAACGGTCACATGACCAGCGGTGGGCCGATGCCGATATATGGTGCATCCCTACAACTCCACACGCAGTGACATCATCGCTGTCGGTGCGAGACTTACAACCTTTCCTTATAAACCCAAAGCACATCTAAGCTTCTGGGCCCTGTTTTACAGATCTGAGCTCACGGTGCAAGTGTGCGTCCGAGTCCACTTCTGCTAGTTTAGCGGCAGGACAAATGGTTTAAAAGTGGTCTAAAAGTGTGGTGCCAATTCTCTTAATGAATCATGGGTGTGTTTTGGGCGTAACGTTCAATAAACCAATCAGAGTCTCGTCTCCCATTCGGTTTATAGCCAGTTGCGCTCGCTTGGCGGATTCGCTATTTACACGGAGGAATTAGCAAGCGGAAAAACTGAACGCTTCTCTAGCGAGGAAACGGATCTGCTAATGCGCGAGGTTAAAGCTGTGTGTAATAATAAGCAGAGTGTGCGCACGTTGTGACCCGCCGATAGGCTAATATTACTAACGCACTCTTTAAATAAGAAATAAATTCCTGCGGCGTTGACTTTATACCGGGTTGTTGAACGGCTCAGTCATCACTAACATCACTAACGCGCGGCCTTGCAAACACTCAAACACAGCCCGTTCTCTCCTCAACGTTAGCATTAGCAGCAGGAGTGGAGGTTAGCACTGAGATGAAGACGGTTCCAGCGTCCGCAGACGATCAGACGCACACGAGTTCAGTAAAGGCACGAGAGGCGTGTCCGCGAGACTGCGTCACTGGCCGCGGTTGAAGGAGTCCAGCACGCTGGCGTTGGTGTTCCCGAAGAGCCACTGCTGACTGAGAGACGAGGGGTCGCAGGAGTTCATGAAGATGCGCTTCTGTCCGGCGCTACAGTCCACACAGCTGTTACTGACGGGGTGGTAGATGCTCTTATCCTGCACACACACACACACACACACACACACACACACACACACACACACTTTATCATTTGCTCACAGAACCTTCCTCCTTAAAGGATTAGTTGACTTTTGAAAACACTTTTGCTGATAATTTACTCACCCCCGTGTCATCCAAGATGTCCATGTCTTTCTTTCCTCAGTTGAAAAGAAATTTAGGTTTTTGAGGAAAACATTCCAGGATTTTCTCCATATAATGGACTTCAATGGGGACCAAACAGTTCAAGGTCCAAAAGACAGTTTCAGTGCAGCTTCAAATGTCTGTAAACGACACCAGACGATGAATAAGGGTCTTATCATGCGAAACGATCGCTTATTTCAAAGCTTATTCCAAAAATGTAACTTTTCTAAGGACAAATGCTAGCCTTTCTCCATTCTGTGAGGCGCGTTTGTAACGTCACGTAATACGTAATTACGTTCAAAAGGTCACGGGCGACGTAGCCGGAAGTACAGAGTCAGAGTGTTTACAGGTTGAACGCATAGGTTGAACGTGCAAACCAACTCAAACGCCGTTTACAAAAAAGGAATTAAAAGGTAAAACAACGATGTCGGACGATTTTGACTCTGTAGTTCCGGCTACGTCGCCCGTGACCTTTTGAACGTAATTACGTATTACGTGACGTTACAAACGCGCCTCACGGAATAGAGCAAGGCTAGCATTTGTCCTTAGAAAAGTTACATTTTTGGAATAAGCTTTGAAATAAGCGATCGTTTCGCATGATAAGACCCTTATTCATCGTCTGCTGTCGTTTAAAGACATTTGAACAGTTTGCACTGAAACTGTCTTTTGGACCTTGAACCGTTTGGTCCCCATTGAAGTCCATTATATGGAGAAAATCCTGGAATGTTTTCATCAAAAACCTTAATTTCTTTTCGACTGAAGAAAGAAAGACGTGGACATCTTGGATGACACGGGGGTGAGTAAATTATCAGCAAAAGTTTTTTCAAAAGTCAACTAATCCTTTAACTAGTGTTGTCAAAAGTACCTTCCTGTAGGCCCACAGCTGGTTGCCCTTCATCCCGTGGCAGTCGTAGAGAGTGACGGGGCTGTTGTGGGACACGGCGTCGAAGCACACCTTCTTAGTGTGTAGCGGGTCTCCAACGCGAATATCTTCCCTCCACCCGAACGTGAACACCTGCAGAACAGCCACACACACACACTCTTATTCACATGAAAGCCCTCCTCGACACGTGATACTGGTGTGGCGACGCTCACCTGCCCGTATCTCCAGCTCAGCTCGCCGCGCTCCCTCAGGCACGGCTCCAGGCGGATCGGGGATCCCGAGGAAAAGTGCTTGCTCTCCATGCACAGGCCGGAGTCCACGTTACGCAGCTGCAACACACACACAAAATAACAACATGACATCATGACTTTTGCGTAAACATACACGCCACTTTCGAGTCAAGTGGCGTGTTATCTCTACGCATTTTGAGCTATCTGCGTGTATGCGTGTATGTCTACGCCATTAACACTCACGTCATTCTGTACACGCCGTCAGATCTCCAGTCATAAATGCCATTAACCCCAGTGACGGTTAGTTTAGGGACGGGGTTGAGGTAAGTCATATATTTATATAACGTTAACTCAACGGCGTTCATAAACACGCTGAAAAGCGATTATGCGTCTTGATAGCACACAAAAAATGGAAATACGAATTGGCGTGTCATACACACGCTACTTCATGAGATCAGTCTGCAAAATAAATACGACTTTAAGTTGTGTCAATCAAGTTTAAACAATGCTTCCAAAACTTCCGTTCGGCATAACATTTTTGGTATCGGCACGATTTTCTGTGTTTTTCGCATCCGTCGCAAGCATTTCGAGAACAATTCAGAGCCACAGAATGACGGAAACGGAAAACACACACACACAAGAATATTGGGCTCGGTGTGCTAAAGGTGAGCCTGAGGACTCGAGGTGGTTTGTCCGCACTTCTCCACACTACAGTGGACAACAACACCCGGCATGTGACGATCGGGAGCGCAGACTTAAGTTTGGTCATTTTAAAGAAGATTGGCAGATTATTATTGAAGTAAAAGTGTGCACCCAGCAAAATTGACTTTGTACACTATGAGTAATGTAGCGACTTCATATTAACACATTTTAGATCCGTCCACAAAGTTACTTGCATTTCGCGTTTGATACTTGCTCTTCAGACGGGTAAAATAGGCCCAGAGAGTGATTGGACTCCTGGTGGTTTGTTCGCATTAGTGATTGGGAGTCTACTTATTCCCTTATTCCTTATTTCCAAATCAGAAAGTTGGCAACCCTAATAGTGAGCCAACGTGTGACGTACAACCCAGAAGTGCTGCGCATCCCTTAGAAGCCCATGGAGGAGTGAGACACTAAGATTTAAAATCACAAATATCTTACTTTGTGTCCTGAAGATGAACAAAAGTCAACGGGGTTGAACAACATGAGGGAGAGTAAATACTGACAGAGTTTACATGTTTGGCTTGTCTGTTTCTACAAGAATAAACCTCAACATAAGTCTATACTATCAAGGAAGTGGGGTCTACTTTTTTATCAGTTTTATTTTGATAAACATGACACAATATAACATCGAGACTATGTGTGTTTACTGTTATAAAACAGATTTGTTGATCAGAATGTCCCAATCTACGGAGGCGTATTGCATTCACTTGAAGAAAAAACAAAATCTACTCTGTTTTTCTGAATTAACGAGTTCATTTTTCATGAGAAAAAAATTGCTCTGTTTTTCTGAATTAATGAGTTCATTTTTCATGAGAAAAAAAGTTTTTGCTCTGTTTTTTTGAATTAACAAGTAAATTTTTCATGGAAATTTTTTTTTTGCTGTGTTTTTCTGAATGAACTCAACTCAACTCAACTTTATTTATAAAAGCACTTTCAAAACCATTAAAATGGACCAAAGTGCTGTCCACAGGCAATAAATAATACACAGAGATATAAAATTACATCAAGACATGACACCCAGATTATCAACCCACAAATCGCTCACAGTTCTCGGACCTACTCAAATGCCAAAAGCTTGATGAAATAAATAAGTCTTCAAATCCTTTCTAAAAATGTCCGTGCATTATTATATAGGAATTAATGAGTTAATTTTTCATGAGAAAAAAATATTTTGCTCTGTTTTTCTGAATTAACGAGTTAATATTTCATGGATTTTTTTTGCTCTATTTTTCTGAATTAACGAGTTAATTTTTTATGGATTTTTTTTGCTCTATTTTTCTGAATTAACAAGTTCATTTTTCATGGAATTTTTTTTTTTGCTCTATTTTTCTGAATTAACGAGTTCATTTTTCATGGAATTTTTTTTGCTCTATTTTTCTGAATTAACGAGTTAATTTTTTATGGATTTTTTTTGCTCTATTTTTCTGAATTAACGAGTTCATTTTTCATGGATTTTTTTTTGCTCTGTTTTTCTGAATTAACTCGTTAATTCAGAAAAACAGAGCAAAAAAAAATTTTCTCATGAAAAATTAACTCGTTAATTCAGAAAAACAGAGTAGATTTTTTTTCTTCAAGTGAATGCAATACGCCTCCGTCCCATCCAGTTCTGGAGTGGGATGAAGATTTTTTATTCCTGCCTAGGGATGAGGGAAGTGATATTTTCCCACCGGGTAATTCGACGTGTGACAGCACCGGTAATACCGGCGGGGGGTTAAATCGCTAATGTAAAGGCGGGGCAACACTGTTTTGTTGTTGTGTTTTTCATATAACAACTCACTATTCAAGCAATCCGCCCCGAATTAGCGCGTCCGCGGGCGAGCAGAACAGAGGAATGAACTGAAGCGTTCGCTCTGTTCTGTTCTGCCCGATGACACGTGTGTCCGTACGCATTTTAGTTTCGCTTTCAAATCAGCGCCACTTCAGGGCGGATTGCCTGAATGTGTTCATTAGCCTATTATTCTTAATGAAAGACACAACTACAAATCAGTGCAATGACAAATCCGCTTAAATAGGCACTTTTATATTTCACTTTGACAGCAAATATTCCTCCGTCATCGCTCTGATGAATGAGATCGGACTCCTGCTGCTGATCTGTGCGACTCGCGTTCAGCTCACGGTTTATTAAGCAGACCCGTTCAGTTCAATAGTGTCTGTTCTCTAACTGAACTAATGATTTTATCAAAATCAAAAATATCGAATCGGCGGTGGGTGCGGTGCCGCGGTGGGCAAGCGATGTAACCGGTGTTGCTTCTGAACACCGTCAGCACCGACTATCGCAGGAACCCTAGCGATTCCCGAGCCTATTCTGATCGTAATGCAGTCGAGTGGACTCCAGAGACAGCGCTCGTCCGCACCTCTCCCCAGGCGGCGGCGGGCGGCTCCACCGGCGGGTAGTGTTTGGGAAGATCCCACGCCACCTCCGTCATGAACCAGCGGAAGCTCCTGCAGTCCAGCCGGTTCCTCAGCTCCTTCTGCGCCGACACGTCTCCAGCCGAGAGATGCCGGTACTCCGGCCGGCGCTGGTACAGGAACTCGGCGTACTCGTCCATCCACACCTCCGCCACACGCTTCAGGTTCTAACACACACACACACACACACACACCAGTCATGATGACGCTCATACAGGACACTGAACACTGCTTCGACTACCGAAATAATCAACAGATAGTTATACATTTAAAAATATACTGCCCTATGAAATAGCCCATGATTTACTCACCCTCATGTCATGACGTTATTCTTTCAGACGACTACAACCATACAGGGGTTGGACTATGAAACTGAAACACGGGCCAATGTTGGAGGTTTCACATCTACAGTATATGCCTGGCGGCCAATCTTCAGAGTGAAGCACGGGTGGATCAGTGATGGTTTGAGCTCCAATATCATGACAATCCTGATTGGGTTTGATGGACACGACACTGCCGAGGACTACCAAACCCTTCTGGAGGATCATGAGCACCTGATGCTCAAACCGTGTATCAGCATGATCATGCACCAACACACACAGCAAGACTTGTGACAGAAGGGTTTGATGAAGATGAAAGTGACGTTGAACATGCACAGTCACCTGATCTGAATATTATTGAGGTGTTTTGGAGGAGCGAGTCCACCAGCATCATATAGTGACCTGGACACTGTTCTGGAAGAGGAACGGCTCATAATCCCTCTGGTCACTGTGAAGGACTTCTATCTGTCATTCCCAAGATGAATTGGTGCTGTATTTGGATGCAAAATGAGGCCCTCACCATACTAACAAATGATTGTGTTGTAAAACCAGGTGTTTCAGCTTCATTGTCCAACCCCTGTATATTAAAGTTATATTAAAAAAATGTCCTGACTTTATAATGAGAGTGAATGGCAATTTGTGTTTTGAAGTCCATCATAAAAGTCATTCACTGCTGTTATAAAGCTTGGAAGAGTCAGGACATTTTTAAAGGGTTAGTTCACCCAAAAATGAAAATTAAGTCATTAATTACTCACCCCCATGCTGTACCAACCCCGTAAGACCTTCGTTCGTCTTCGGAACACAAATGAAGATATTTTTGATTAAATTTGAGAGCTGTATAACTACCACATTGGCTCCTAAAGGACTGCCTCTTGACGGCCCAGAAAGTCAATGAAGAAAATGTTTAAATATCCCAAGTGACTACCGTGGCTCAACTATATGTTTATCAAGCGTTCGCTCTGTTCTGTTCTGCCCGATGACACGTGTGTCCGTACGCATTTTAGTTTCGCTTTCAAATCAGCGCCACTTCAGGGCGGATTGCCTGAATGTGTTCATTAGCCTATTATTCTTAATGAAAGACACAACTACAAATCAGTGCAATGACAAATCCGCTTAAATAGGCACTTTTATATTTCACTTTGACAGCAAATATTCCTCCGTCATCGCTCTGATGAATGAGATCGGACTCCTGCTGCTGATCTGTGCGACTCGCGTTCAGCTCACGGTTTATTAAGCAGACCCGTTCAGTTCAATAGTGTCTGTTCTCTAACTGACCTAATGATTTTATCAAAATCAAAAATATCGAATCGGCGGTGGGTGCGGTGCCGCGGTGGGCAAGCGATGTAACCGGTGTTGCTTCTGAACACCGTCAGCACCGACTATCGCAGGAACCCTAGCGATTCCCGAGCCTATTCTGATCGAGAAACGAGAAACGAGACTTCCTTATAGATTTCCACGACGCATGCGCGAGAATTGCGATCTCCTTCAACTACTTCAGTTCAGTTCTCGCGCATGCGTCGTGGAAATCTAAGGAAGTCTCGTTCTGGCCTACAAGGAAGAAAAGAAATAGTCGAATAAACTCGTTATTTTTGTTTGTTTTTTCGCACAAAAAGTATTCGTGTCGCTTGATAAACATATAGTTGAGCCACGGTAGTCACTTGGGATATTTAAACATTTTCTTCATTGACTTTCTGGGCCGTCAAGAGGCAGTCCCTTAGGAGCCAATGTGGTAGTTATACAGCTCTCAAATTTAATCAAAAATATCTTCATTTGTGCTCCGAAGACGAACGAAGGTCTTACGGGGTTGGTACAGCATGGGGGTGAGTAATTAATGACTTAATTTTTGGGTGAACTAACCCTTTAATATCACACACACCTAGGATGGCTTGAGGGAGAGTAAATCATGGGCTAATTTTAATTTTTGGGTGAACTCTCCCTGGCCTTTTTTTTCTCCTATCAAAAGGGCATGTTCACATCTTTGCTCATGAAGCGGGGCGACAGTGAACAGGTGGATGTAGTAAATCTGATCTCACATCAGAACATCATGATGTCAATGTGAAATGCATTGTGGGAAGTGCATGAGTGCTGATCGGACACTCACCCTGGCGAGACTCACTCCTCCGGGAACTTTATAAGGCACGTACTTCCGGTATATGTGACCCACTCGAGAGCAGGGGATGTCCTCCATTCGCCCACCACACATCCACACCTCAGGAGACACACACACACACACTCAGTCAGACACAAGATGATATAATAGTGTCATAAAACACAACATAATAGAAAATAATATAACTAATATCATATAATGAATAAAACTAATAGAATCAGTCACTATTATTAAAATTAACATATTAAGATCAAATTTTCTTCAGTCATTGTTAAAAAAAAACTTGTTAAACAAAACTTGCTAACGCTAGTGAAGCGGCCAGAGTCGTCGCGCTGCCTCCACCTAAGCTCCGCCCACAAACAAACGTCACCATGTGTCCAAACTGAAAAGCCCATTAGAGCAGGCCACAGCGATTACCTTGAACGAGATCTCGTACTGCTCTCCTCCCCAGATCTCCAGACCCGTGTCATATCCTCCCAGCTCCCAGAACCACTTCCTGTCCACAGCGAAGAGCCCGCCCGCCATCACCGGAGACCTGACAGGAAGAGGAGAAGTATAAAAAATTATCCTTAATCGGCCAAAATGTTGAAATGAAATGCGTTATTTTTTTACACAACTAATTAATCAAATTACCATGTTAAATCAACAACCCTAGTAAATACTGACCATCTAAAGTCCACAATCACAATCGACTGCATGTACTTTCACCCATTCAAAGAGTATGGAGGCGATCGATCCACTGAGATGTTACACGTAAAAGAGAAAGGGCACTCACTCGAAAGGGTCGCTGGGGTCAGCCTTCTCCAGCTGGGGGGGGATAGGGATGCGCTTGTAGTACATCTCCCAGTCGAAAGCCCCTCGCATGGCGTCGCCCGCCTGCGTCTCGTAACCGAAGTTATCGTGGTCGATCACATCGATCATCGGACACACGATGGTCTTCCGGTTCTGAGCGATGCGATCTGAAGGGGCAAACACAACCATAATCCACTGTCAGGGTTCAGAAACATCCTAACTTAAGAATCCTATCGTATGTGTTTAGGAACCATCGCCAATTCAGATAGAGCCTCATTTAAGACGAAAGCTAGAGACCCCTTTTCAGTTTCTTAACTATACAAGACAAAAACTCATAAAGGGTCATTTTTGCCCTGAATTTTAGGGTTTAGAATTTTAACAGAGTTTAGTTACCCAGTAAGGGAGGTTTGTTACCCAGTAACAGAGGTTAGATTACCCAGTAACGGAGGTTAATTACCCAGTAAGGAAGGTTAGTTACCCAGTACGGAGGTTAGTTTACCCAGTAAGGGAGGTTAGTTTACCCAGTAAGGGAGTTACCCAGTAAGGGAGGTAGCCAGTTGACGTTGGCCTCGCAGTGGGAGTCCAGGAAGGTGATGACGTCCCCGATGGCGGCCTCAGCTCCCAGGAGCCTCGTCCGGATCAGACCCTCGCGCTTCTTGGTCCGCAGGATCCGCACCTTCGGCAGGCGCACCATGTACTCCTCCAGCGGGGCCTTCAGGTGCTCTGGGCCAACACAGAACCGGCACAGGTTTAGCCTTCCTCAATAAAACACTACAGTATCCAACACATTGTTTCAAGAAAGTTCAAAAGAACAGCATTTATCTGAAGTAGAACATTATGAACATCTTTAATGTCACTTTTGATCAATGTAATGCATCCTTGCTGAATAAAAGTATTCATTTGTGTCCAAAAAAAAATGTGTCCACACTAAGTTATTTTCGTTTGGAAACGCATCTTTCTGGCTCCGTTTTGTCCTTCCTTTCACACTGAGACGCAGTTTTAAGTTTCAGACAAACATATAATGATGATCGAGAGCGACCTGACGCTCAGTGAATGCTAGGATATTGCTAAATAAAATGATCCTGCCAGAAGAATTGTGCAATAACGTTATTATTTATAGTTTCGTATGTATCGTCTCAGAGCTTCTGTGAGGGTTATCGTGTGCTTGAGTCCTCTCCTCTTCCCTGACCCAACATGCACTTGCATTAAAATGAGAACGGTCCGTTTCAGTGCGCTGATTGTGTTGATGTAATGCGTATCACTTGTGCTGCTATTGAGGTGTAAAACAGGTCTGTAGTTACGCGAAGGTTTGAGGTGTAATTATAGATTTACAGAAATTAATTACAGCTATAATTACATGCAGGTATTATTAAGTATAAAAGCATGTACAGTCAAACCAACATTATTCAGACTCCTTCAACACTTCTCAGATCATCAGTTTATTCGCTATAGTTCAGCTAATGGTGATAAACATGAGCAGAACTCAGTGGATATTTGACTGGTTTTGTCCGTCCTTCTGTTGGACTCACACATGAATTATGTTGAATATCTGTTCAATTTAACTCCACAATTAGATAATACCAGTTTAGCTCAACCAGTGACCAAGCAATGCTTCATGTTGTTCAGTGTGTGTGTGTAATTACAGAAAACACACTTCAGCAGAACATCATCAGCTCAGTGGAGGAGTCATCACTGTAGTCGCTGTATGAAGAATATTTGGGTGTAATACGTCACAGTTTACTTTATTCTGCTCTCCTCGCTTACATTAATTAACTATAGTGTCCTAAACATATCAAATATGATATCTGGTGTCTGAATAATGTTTTGTTTGACTGTATGCACACAAAAAGGGCATTGAATCAAACCATTCATTTAAATGTTAGTTCAAAGACACTTCATGTAAAGTGGGACAAATAAACGTACTTTAGATTTCACTTGTAATGCTGCTCGTCACATCTTAATGGAAGCTTGTTTCTGCCACAGAATAAAAAGCATTAAAAAGGTAATTGTGACTTTTTATCTTAGAATTGTGTGTTATAGTCAGAACTGTGTGTTATAAAGTCAGAATTGTGTATTAAAGTCAGAATTGTGTTATAAAGTCAGTATTGTGTGTTATAAAGTCAGAATTGTGTTATAAAGTCAGAATTGTGTTATAAAGTCAGTATTGTGTGTTATAAAGTCAGAATTGTGTGTTATAAAGTCAGAATTGTGAGTTATAAAGTCAGAATTGTGTTATAAAGTCAGTATTGTGTGTTATAAAGTCAGAATTGTGTTATAAAGTCAGTATTGTGTGTTATAAAGTCAGAATTGTGTGTTATAAAGTCAGAATTGTGTGTTATAAAGTCAGAATTGTGAGATATAAAGTCAGAATTGTGTTATAAAGTCAGTATTGTGTGTTATAAAGTCAGAATTGTGAGATATAAAGTCAGAATTGTGTTATAAAGTCAGTATTGTGTGTTATAAAGTCAGTATTGTGTGTTATAAAGTCAGAATTGTGTGTTATAAAGTCAGAATTGTGAGTTATAAAGTCAGAATTGTGTTATAAAGTCAGTATTGTGTGTTATAAAGTCAGAATTGTGTTATAAAGTCAGTATTGTGTGTTATAAAGTCAGAATTGTGTGTTATAAAGTCAGAATTGTGAGATATAAAGTCAGAATTGTGTTATAAAGTCAGTATTGTGTGTTATAAAGTCAGAATTGTGAGATATAAAGTCAGAATTGTGTTATAAAGTCAGTATTGTGTGTTATAAAGTCAGTATTGTGTGTTATAAAGTCAGAATTGTGTGTTATAAAGTCAGAATTGTGTGTTATAAAGTCAGAAACTCGATGTAAACTCGCAATTGTGAGATAAAAAGTCGTAATGATCTTTAAAATGTTTTATTCTATGGCGGAAGCCTGATGATGAAACGCTCATTTGAAACATGTTGTTTGTCAAATGTTTGACCTTGTATTGACATGTTAAAGCTTGATGAACTGCGGCCAGTGTTTCAGCGATCTGTAATCTGGGCCGGTCCTGCGTGAGTGACGGGAAACTGAACGCATCATCACCCGGACAGGACCACTGTGGACGAGTGAGACGAAACACTAATACTGAGCTGAAATTAGACATATTTATATTTGATTAAAACATGCAGCAATCCTCAGATCTATAGTGGGGAGATTACGGCCAATCCGGAGCTTATGAACATGAACATGTGACGCGCTGCAGGACAGGATCATCTGGCTTAACATCTGTCACGCATATAAAACACACCGGCGCAGGCTACGTCTGTAATCCGGGTGCGCTTGAACACGCCGTTTACGCTAGCCGTTTCAAACTAATGGAAAACGCTGAATCCCCCTGTACTGCGCTCACGATAACCCTCAGAAGCTCTGAGACGATACAGACGGAAGTTATCGCACAATTCTTCTGGCAGGATCACTTTATTTAGCAATATCCTAGCATTCACTGAGCGTCAGGTCGCTCTCGATCATCATCATACGTTTGTCTGAAACGCTAAACCTGATCTGATGTTTCACCGCAGCAGATGCGAGTGTATTCGGTCATGTGTGCAGGACTGTGATATGAAGAGTGTGTGAAGGAACATGTTTCAGCAACTGTGTGAAAGTGCCACTATAAACATGAAAATATATTGGTACAACACGTGTCACATGACTAAACTTACATCATACCTCAGTTTCCACAGTCCACACTACAACACGAAAACAGCGATTACAAATTTATCCACTGAAGAGTGAAAACTGCGTCTCAGTGTGAACGGAAGGACAAAGCGGAGCAAGAAAGATGCGTTTCCAAACGAAAACATGTTGCCTGGGTTACAGGAGACGTTCACAGCTCAGCTCAGGCATTATAATTATGTGTCTGACGCTGTTAGACGTCAGTGTGCTAGGCCGACGAGCTGCTGTACCCTTGTCGCTGAAGTCGTCGACGAGCACGATCTCGGCGAGCAGCTGCGGCGGCGAGCGGTTCAGGACACTGTGGACGGTGCGGAGCAGAGACGACCAGCCCTCGTTGTGGAAGGGGATGATGATGCTGGTGTTGGGGAGATCTTCAGCATACAGCTTCGTCTTACAGCTGCACACACACACACACACACACACCGTTTTCATTGGCAGAGGAAAAATATATGCCCAGTTATTCAAGAACATGCATCAGATTTAGTCCCACACTGGCTACGTTTACATGTACAACTTTCGTTTCGTTCGGACTGAATTCATCCCGATTGATGAGTCTGGGCGCAGTGTTTACATGAACACTGATCATGTGACCGGGTTAATCTACGCGTTTATGTCACAAGCTTCAAATCTGAATATATCTTTTGACATGCACTAATATACAGTTGCCCGATGTCTGCGCATAACAACTATTCTCCTACATTGGTCCTGACTTCATATTTCATATTGGTCCATACTTCATATCCTACTGACTTCATATTTATGCATTTCTGGTCATCATTTGGAGACATGAGCGTATGAGCCGCGGTGCCGCTGCTTATATTGATCACACGGTAGAACTCTGTGGATGAGAATCTGCTGAGGGAAAGGAGGATTATAGGACGACGAGACACTCATTTATACAACACTTTATTTAACAGGAACTACAGCTCGATCAGCACGTCATTACGCTATTTCTACGTCATTGCGCTATTTCTACACTACTTCTATGTCATTAAGCTATTTATACGCCATTTAACATCATTAAACAATTTCTACATCCGTACACCATTTCTACATCACTGCGCTATTTCTACACCATTACACCATTTCTACACCATTTCTATGCCATTACACCATTTCTACATCATTATGCCATTTCTACATCAGTACGCTATTTCTACACCATTTCTACATCATTACGCTATTTCTACGTCATTACACCATTTCTACATAATTTCTACATCATTATGCCATTTCTACATCATTATGCTATTTCTACAATATTTCTGAATCATTACGCCATTTCTACATCATTACACCATTTCTATGACATTACACCATTTCTACAAAATTACACCATTTCTACATCATTACGCTATTTCTACACCATTTCTACATCATTATGCTATTTCTACAATATTTCTGAATCATTACGCCATTCTACATCATTACGCCATTTCTATGACATTACACCATTTCTACAAAATTACACCATTTCTACATCATTACGCTATTTCTACACCATTTCTACATCATTACGCCATTTCTATATCATTACGCTATTTCTACGTCATTAAGCCATTTCTACATCATTATGCTATTTCTACAATATTTCTGAATCATTACGCCATTTCTACATCATTACGCCATTTCTACATCATTACGCTATTTCTACACCATTTCTACATCATTACGCTATTTCTATGCCATTACACCATTTCTACATCATTACGCTATTTCTACACCATTTCTACGTCATTACGCTATTTCTACGTCATTTCTACATTATTACACCATTTCTACATAATTTCTACATCATTATGCCATTTCTACATCATTGTGCTATTTCTACACTATTTCTACATCATTACGCCATTCTATGCCATTACACAATTTCTACACCATTACGCCATTTCTATGCCATTACACCATTTCTACACCACTTCTATGCCATTACACCATTTCTACATCATTACGCCATTTCTATGCCATTACACCATTTCTACATCATTACGCTATTTCTACACCATTTCTACGTCATTATGCTATTTCTACAATATTTCTGAATCATTACGGCATTCTACATCATTACGCCATTTCTACGACATTACACCATTTCTACACCATTTCTACATCATTACGCCATTTCTACATCATTACGCCATTTCTATGCCATTACACCATTTCTACATCATTACGCTATTTCTACACCATTTCTACGTCATTTCTACATTATTACACCATTTCTACATAATTTCTACATTATTATGCCATTTCTACATCATTGTGCTATTTCTACACTATTTCTACATCATTACGCCATTCTATGCCATTACACAATTTCTACACCATTACGCCATTTCTATGCCATTACACCATTTCTACACCACTTCTATGCCATTACACCATTTCTACATCATTACGCCATTTCTACGTCAGTACGCTATTTCTACACCATTTTTACATCATTGCGCTATTTCTACGTCATTAAGCCATTTCTACATCATTATGCTATTTCTACAATATTTCTGAATCATTACGCCATTCTACATCATTACGCCATTTCTACGACATTACACCATTTCTACGACATTACACCATTTCTACATCATTACGCCATTTCTACATCATTACGCCATTTCTATGCCATTACACCATTTCTACATCATTACGCTATTTCTACACCATTTCTACGTCATTGCACTATTTCTATGTCATTTCTACATCATTACGCTATTTCTACATCATTACACCATTTCTACATAATTTCTACATCATTATGCTATTTCTACAATATTTCTGAATCATTACGGCATTCTACATCATTACGCCATTTCTACGACATTACACCATTTCTACGACATTACACCATTTCTACATCATTACGCCATTTCTATGCCATTACACCATTTCTACATCATCACACTATTTCTACACCATTTCTACGTCATTGCGCTATTTCTATGTCATTTCTACATCATTACGCTATTTCTACATCATTACACCATTTCTACATAATTTCTACATCATTATGCCATTTCTACATCATTGCGCTATTTCTACATCATTAAGCCATTTCTACATCATTATGCTATTTCTCCAATATTTCTGAATCATTACGCCATGTAAACTTTTGAACTGGATCTTGATGATCAAGTCTGTATGGTTTTATCAACTCAAATATATCTTCGTTGGAAAGTGAGTGTCCTCATCCAGCGCTCTTAAATAACTTAGAGCTCAGTCTTCACACTGACACTTTATACTTTACACTTATTCTGAAGTCTAAGAGTAAGCAGTGACTCTGAGAGAGTGGCTTCCTACATAGACATTTAGCAAATATTCACAAAAGTGCTTGAGTATTGATTTCGATTTACAACAGTGTTACTCGGTAAAATATTTACTGCGACTTTAAAGGTGCCATCTACCATAATAAATCAAATCCTACTCCATATTCCATAACAGATGGGGGCAGTATACCTCCAAAAAATGACTTGTGCTCCTACCATCGCGCATGTTATTCAAATCATTTGACATGATAGTAAAAGGTCGGAAGACCGCAGTTTCACGTGGAACATTTGGAGATTTTTAGAGATCAGAGACTCAATGAACTAAACACTAGAGTGAACTAAACTAAACACTATGAATCTCAACACTAAATGATGAAGACCGCCTCATAGATCTCAAAAACAAGCTGGTGCATTTCGACGGTATGGGAAAATAAAAGCTTGGGCAATTATTTGAAGTTTATGGTATTCGTTTTGTTCATATTACACTTTTATTGTTAGTGAATTAATTTGACAGACAGCATTCGCTGATGTTGATCAAGCTAGCGCCGTGAATTCACCGTGAGACACATGCAATTGACACTTAGCAAGCAGGTTAGTTAAGCTCTCAGATTCTGTCAATTATATTACGCAATTCAAACAATAAATACAGTTTTGGCGCTTGTACATGTTACACCACAGATCCCTAGCGCACGTGAACCGATCGTCTCTACTAGTTGGAAAAAGAACATGAACTCTGTTGAAAGATACAGTATGCTACAACTTACCAAAATGTATTCCTCATGCATAATGTCGACCAATCATTTTTTGAACTCTTCCCTGAACTGAAATGTAGTAGTGGGCTGTATTTCCACACGACTGACATCAGGTTCAAGTGCACACACACACACACACAAGCCGGCGCGAGCGCGACTCACTCGCGTATTGCAGTTTGGCTGGTGCTAACGTTGCCCGTCCGCATACCGCCTCCCATGGCCGGAACTGGTATTACGACACCTGCCGGGCCGGGGCTAGTAATTTAGCATGCTAATTCAGGTTAATATCTCGGCAGCACTATAACTTGTCAGTTTTTTAATGACATCTTTGCACTTATTTCTTTTCATTCTTTTGATGCGTGTAGCTCATTTTTCGTATATTGTTACCTCAATTATTGTATATGGCTGTATGCTGTTACCCAATGCTGTCTGCGTCGCCTCGACGCGTAGTTACAAATCTCTGGAGGTGCACGTCAAGCTACGGCGGAGGGGTCGGAGACGGGTTCGTGTCGACGCAGAGAGGTCTGCGGGGGTACGCCGACGCAGAAGCATAAAACAGGCTTAAGCCTCTGGTAAAACTAGTTTGTCAACTAGTGTGTACATTTGTTTGGAAACCGGAGCACTATTTGACAGAGTTCCTGAATCCGGTTATGTTGATTAAACCCACCCAAACTGACATCCGTGATCTCTTCCAGAGATAATAACTACCCATTAGTCATTGCGTATATGTTTTATTAGCAAGTTAAGCTGTGGTGTGTGTCGTTCTTTCGTTAGGTTTCTCTCACTCCTGGACTGTACGACGTCAGAAGGAAATGCTGATTAATCCTCCAGTAATCAGAAGTTCTTACAGTGGAGAATATGCAGTCAAAACAAAGCCGATAAGATCAATGCTAACACTAGCGGAGGATTAAAGCCCATGACGGACGGTCCACTGGAGGAATGATACGGAGAGATGACAGCAGTGAGAGGAGAGCGAGAGATGAACTAGTCATTTAATGAGAAGCTAACGCAGGGAAAGGAAATATACTGGATTGGCCTGTTTAAATATTCAACATTACACTTCTGTCTAACTTTATTATTACTAGAAGTGAGTCTGATGTCGGGGCAGGAGTGTGTGTATCAGACTCGTGTGTGTATCAGACTCACTTCGGGTGTCTGATGTCGGGCAGGAGTTTGAGTATCAGACTCGTGTGTGTATCAGACTCATGTGTGTATCAGACTCGTGTGTGTATTAGACTCACTTCGGGTGTCTGATGTCGGGCAAGAGTGTGTGTATCAGACTCATGTGTGTATCAGACTCGTGTGTGTATTAGACTCGTGTGTGTATTAGACTCACTTCGGGTGTCTGATGTCGGGCAAGAGTGTGTGTATCAGACTCATGTGTGTATCAGACTCGTGTGTGTATTAGACTCACTTCGGGTGTCTGATGTCGGGCAAGAGTGTGTGTATCAGACTCATGTGTGTATCAGACTCATGTGTGTATCAGACTCACTTCGGTGTCTGATGTCGGGCAGGAGTGTGTGTATCAGACTCGTGTGTGTATCAGACTCACTTCGGGTGTCTGATGTCGGGGCAGGAGTGTGTGTATCAGACTCGTGTGTGTATCAGACTCACTTCGGGTGTCTGATGTCGGGCAAGAGTGTGTGTATCAGACTCATGTGTGTATCAGACTCATGTGTGTATCAGACTCACTTCGGGTGTCTGATGTCGGGGCAGGCGTGTGTGTATCAGACTCGTGTGTGTATCAGACTCACTTCGGGTGTCTGATGTCGGGCAAGAGTGTGTGTATCAGACTCATGTGTGTATCAGACTCATGTGTGTATCAGACTCACTTCGGGTGTCTGATGTCGGGGCAGGAGTGTGTGTATCAGACTCGTGTGTTTATCAGACTCATGTGTGCATCAGACTCACTTCGGGTGTCTGATGTCGGGCAGGGATCGGTTGAGGGCGATCCGGTTACTGACGAAGATGTTGAAGCCGTTCTCTCTGTAGGCCTGATCCACACGGTCCGAGTCGCTGAGGGGGTACGGCCGGCCCTGCTCGCCCACACCTGACACACACACACACACACACACACACAGTTATGGGCAATACACTCATAAAAATTGAATTTCTGCACAGTAAACAATATATGACCAATCAGTTATGACAACATATGTTTTTACACAGCTTTAGGAATAAATAAATGAAAAAGTAGGTCTGCAAATTGCAATATGGACTTTAATATGGGAAAAAAAGATTTAAATGTTCATTCACGCAGAACATGCAGGATTCATGTTTGGTTTACTACACATACTGAAGCACTCGTGACTCTTCAGCCGCTCTCAACGCTTCAGCCGAGAAAAACTCGTCATTTTACACAGACACAAAGGTCTTCACGGCAATCCGACAACATAAACGTTCAGTTTAACTTATATATTACTAGAGGAATGTAATACTAGTACTACAACAATACAATTATTATTAAAACTAAATCACAAAATGTTTCTTCCATGTTTTAATTTTAAACCTTTGTGCAGCACTTAAAAAAAATTCAAAGGGTTCCTTTCATTTTCATTTGATTAAAAGATATTACACACATCATTTCTGACAAAACTTAACATTTCATAGGGCATTTCATTGTTTTTTATGAATTCAATGAACAAGACATATTTTTGATTAAACCATAAAAAGGAAATCCAGAAAAAGGAAAAAAGGAACATTTTGTAAAAAAAATAAACAAAATTTAAGAAAAAATAAAACGTATTTCAAACTTTAAAATACTTTATTTTTGTTCAACTTTTAATGATTTTCTGTTCAATTGAATAATTTTCATGATTTCAATGAATTAGGCATTCTTTTTTATTAATACATGTGGTTATTAATTTAACCATTAAAATGTCCAGAACAAAAACAGAATCCAGAAAAGTTAAAACCGAAAAAAAAAAAACAGGATTTGTGTAAATGAGTAAAACCCAACGTTCAGCATGTATTTTCCTGTTGAGCACATGACGTACCGGAGCGTGCCGCCTCACTCTTGATAGCGGCGTAGTCATGCCAGTCGCGTTTCCGAACGCCGGTGTTCTGCACTCGGTGTCCCTTCGGTCTCTGAAAACACACACATGAAGCTTGTGTGAGCAGAACACCACACCTGGAGAAACACACAGAGCAGCCGAGGAAGAGGAGGAGGAAGAGCGAACCCTGCTTCTAGGGCTGGGGGGAAAAAATACCAGAACCAAAACAATTTCAAGATACATTACTAAATATTTTAAAGCCAATTATCGATCGTAACCACCCCTGAGGTCCCAGAGGTCACGACCTCTCTATTTTTCCAAGTGTGTAATGAAGGTTGTGAAATGATTGACTAATATTAACTCTACTTATATTATATTATATACTGATATTGCACATTGCCACGATTGCAGATTTTAGCTTTTGTGATGTCACATATGCGTAGGCTCCGCCCATAACTGCTGACAGACTCCGCCCAATTAGTATAGGCCCCGCCCCTATACTGTTCATCTCCTCGCCAGAGCGTTTAACAGCAGCATTCAAGTCAGAAACATATTCTTCTTAAAGCTACTAAAGTTAATCTGTGAAGAGCAGTGAGTGATATTCTGTTTTTATTTAGTCGTTTGATTCATATTATCAGCTTATAGCAGTAGGTTCAGTTTAATACACAGATCTAATAAACACAGATTTCCGTCTGTGTTCATGGGAACATTGTGTGTATTTGACAGTTTAAGCTCAATAAGAAGTGAAAGAGCACTTAGTTAAACCCTCACGGGACGCTCCGTCTGACGGCAGCTTTCTGTGCGCGTGATTCGGTGTGTGTGTGTGTGTGTGTGTGTGCTCAGATAAACGTATATCAGACGTTCAGACTGATACGGCTTTAAAACACAGGCAGATAATACACTTTCATAATGATGATGAACTACAATGTCACATGAGATTATAATCCAAACCAAACAGTTTTAAGTTTTAAGAGTGTCCGAGGCACGAGCTGCACAGGCTCCGCCCTCTTCTGGAAAGGGGCGGAGCAACAGCTCATTTGCATTTAAAGACACAAGCACAAAAACAGCAGGTTTTTCCTGGATGATGAACACATCTGTGGGGTATTTAGAGCTGAAACTCACACACACATTCTGAGGACACTGAGACTAATATTACATCTTGTAAAAGGGGTGTAATAGGTCCACTTTAATGATACCAGTGTCATATTTAATCTGAAACGACAACATAAACAGCAATATGACACGTCTTCTAATTGATGCATGATGATTATGTATTAAACATGAGCAGAGTTGCTGCTAATATGACAGGATGATTGACAGGCCGGTTTCCTTTAACAGTACGGGAATGCTTGTCAGGTCAAAAGTGTGTGTTTGTTAATGTGTGTGTGCACACTTACAGGGCAGCACGAGTGTGCAAACAGGGATGTACGTCTGCTACGTGTCTGTTTTTTAAAAGCAAACAGTGTCCATAATAAACAGCAAAACAGTGTACACCTCCTCACAGCACTAAACGCACACATGTGCTAAAGCAGACGAACGAGTTAGCAGAGGTGTGTGTGGGGTTTATAAAAATACTATTTGGCCAGTGGAAAAGATTGAGTCTGAAATGTATTTGATTTATTTATTCAAAATGATTGTTAGAAGTGTAATGTGACGCACATCCGTATCTCATATTCTCCATATGTTAAACGTGGATCACGTGGATGAATATGCATATGCTAATGATATGCAGATGAGGATGTGCAGGTTCTGGCGTACGCATGCGCTCATCAGGATATGTTTTGGCTTCGGGCGCACGTCACTTCCAGTGCGGATCCTCCAGGGTGTGATGAGCGAGAGCGAGCCCAGCACCTGCCGCTCACCACAGAGGAGCTAACAGCCCTCGGCCTGGACCCGGGCCAGCGCACACACACACGTGTGGACAGCAGAACACACACCGCCTTTCACAGCCGGCCCGATGAAGGCCTGCTCTTCCGGCTCAACCTCTCGGGTCATGATGAACACGCGGCGCTCAGCGCTGCTGCTGCTCTCTCGCTTCACACACACACACACTTTAGTCACACTATTGGTCTAATTTTAAGAAAATGGAAATCGCCTACTCATTCCTCGGGGATTAATGATATTTCTCATTTAGTCAAACTAGAAAAAAAATGTGTATATGCTTTTAGATGACCAAGTTTTTAATGGGTATATTATATGTACTTCTGCTATTGCTTTTCATTTACAAGAGAGATGGAATTATTATACTTACTAAGGACTAAATGTGATATCTCAATGGCATCTGTAATTGTGTGCTGTATTTGGTTTATGAGTGGGGGAAAGTATTGCAGATATACAGCATTTCATCTTTCTCATCCTCATATTCAGCGCAGGGAAAGACTTGTTCATCAGCACCGGACTCGAGATCGCAGGAGTGCTGCGCTTCAACACTGTCGGTCTGCAACTGAACATGAAGATCTGATACCCCAAAATACACAATGCGTAGTGAAAACATTAAAACACTCGCTGTTGTATTGCTTCTTGTGACTTTTAAGCAATGCCGATGTGTTCTTTAATGGTGTGTTTATTTTATATAGTGCCTTTCTTTAAACTCAAGGTCGCTTCGTAAGTCATAAGCATGTAACGAAACTTCAACTTATGCCGTTTTTTAAAAGTCTTGATACTAAAAAGGGTACTTTTGATACTTTTTTATACTCATATTCTCCATTGTTGCGGCTCCTCTCTTCCCAGTCTGTCAGTAACGCTCTGTTTACTTCCTGTCTCTATGAAGTCCCTCCTCCTGAAAGCGCAATGTGCTCTGATTGGTTGGCTGGAGCAGTGTGTTGTGATTGATCGAGCGCTTCGAGTGTGTTTGGAAATGTCCCGCCCCTTTCCATAACCGCCAGTTTAACACACTACTAACTCAACCATGACTTATTATAATGAGGAATATTGTGACGTGTTTTTTTATTTAAAAGTAGTATATTTCCAAATTGAAATAGTGGTAACACTTTACAATACGGTTCATTAGTTAACATTAGTTAACATGTACAATAGGTGAACAATACTTCTTCAGCATTTATTAATCTTAGTTAATATTAATTCCAACATTTACTAATACGTTAGACTTAATGGACATTAGTTAATGGACTGAACATGAACATACAATGAACAGCTGTATTTGTATTAACTAACATTAACAAAGATTAATAAACACTAACTAATGCATTGCTCATCATTAGTTCATATTAGTTAATGCATTTACTAATGAACCTTATTGTAAAGTGTTACCGAAATAGTTATCTCTCTAATAAAAATAAACTATCATTCAATAAAATCAATTTAGCTCTGAAGCGCAAAAAAGTGCTAAACAACCAGTGTAATTGTCATATAAATAATTTGAACAGAAAATGTTTATATTAATACTATTATTTAACTCAATAGCCACAAAAAATAAAAAGTAAACAACTTTAATGTTTAAAATATAAAACATTTGTGTTTAATTTCCATGACGAAACAGTGTCTAAACTGTGAACTTCGTTCAAAAGGACCATATAATTAATTACCGATCACCAGATAACTTGTTACCACGTTGACAGATTGCGCGCGACGCGACAAACCCTCAGCGACAGACAGCGTTGTAGTCGCGTCGCGTTCCTCGCAGACGGAGATGAAAGAAGTCGTCAGAGAAGCTTGTATCGCAGTGACAGTGAGAGTTCAGTGTTTCTGAGAGAGATCTGCGGTACCTGTGTGTGAGAGAGTCCGGGTCCGTCCGCAGAACTGCTGTCCAACAACCGCTCCAGAGACGAGGACCACAAGCCGACGTTCGGCAACAACAGAAAGGCCACGATGAGCAGAAACGCGATCTGCAACAATCTCTTCTGCTTCCGTCGCATCTCTATATCTCGTTTAATGTTTACGCCGCCGTTTCAATACATCAACACAAACTCATACAAGTGCCTGTAACTTCAGTCCGCTCGCTCTGCGTTTAACTGTCAGAACTTCCGCTTCCATGGACTGAACCACTGCTGCTTCGTCGACGGGGGTAGAAAGTTCAAGACTATTTCGGTGATTATCATTTTTAGAAAACATTTCACGCGGTTATTTCGTGCGACTCGTTGTACAGAAGTATTTACAAAAGATTTTATTTTAGAAACAGCTGATTAGAGCTTTAAATTCATGTACTTTATTGACCTTGGGCTCGATCGTTACCTACTGCGGCGTCCGAGTGGAACAGTTCATCAAGTAAATGTTGACTGATGAGAGTCTTTTATGAATGAGAACAGAGGATAGTTCACACCCGGCAAATACTCATTCCAGACAGACATTATATTATATTATATTATATTATATTATATTATATTATATTATATTATATTATATTATATTATATTATATTATATTATATTATATTATAAATGTATATTACATTATTTATGCCAAGGGATAATCATACAAAGCCCATATAACATGACTGAAAGAAAAAAAAAGTGATATAGATCACTTACATGCATCAGCCGCCACCCCACCCCCATAAATATATATATATACAGTATATATATATAAATAAAAATGACACAACAACAAAAAAAGTTTTTGTGTATTTTGTGGGTGGAGCAATGAAGAGACGGGTGTGTTTGGGTTGATTTCAAATGTCAACAGTATTCAACAATGATTGTCAGAAATCGCTTACTGCACCTTTAAAGTCCCCCTGTGGGGGGGGGGGGGTGTCAGGGTTGTGTTTAATACGCTTTAACACACACCGTGTGTACGTTGATAAGTGGACAGCATTGCTGAGTATTTCCTCCTTAAAACTGCAGTGAACCAAAGACAGTCTCAAAAACACGTGTGAAATCGCTGGTGTTTCTGATGTCACAAACCACCTTGTAACCAATCAGATCAACGTGTGATCGACAACCAGTGGATCTCTGAGTGAGGGAGTGAAGGCGGGGCTCATTTGCATATTCATAGAACCGGGGATACTAAATGAGATATAATAATTTAAGATATTTTAAGACATTTTAAGACATTTTTCCACGGAAAAATCTTTTAAAATGTAATTTTCGTAATCAAAGATGAGTTTAAAATGATTTACTACTGGGGAACTTTGCACACCATGCAGGGTGAAATTGTCCAGACATGGCTTCCTGTTACAAAGGACAATTAATATGAGGGAACAAAAAGGTCAAATTCCCATAATCATCCATCACAATGACCAAAACCAAAGAATACAGTTCGGATGTGCAGCAAAAGATTGTTGAGCTTGTGTGGGAAAGCATGAGTCTATCATGCCCTAATGCAGGCGAGGAGGATCGTGGAGAGGCTCTCCGAGGGTCACAGCTGGAGAACGGCAGGAAACACGTCAGTCTGAAAAATAAAGGTTCCTCGGTCCGTCCAACTCCACCTCGGCCTGAGCCATGATGCGGTTACATTATTCTAACATAAAACAGGAGACAATACAAAAAAAGACAATACACAAATCAGAAACAATACACACAATGTCCTGGGGATGTGCATGCTCATTCATAAAAAGCTTTTCTATGGATTAATAGAGAGAAGCCTATTTCAGGGGCCTGTCGCATTCATCCACCATTCCAATGTCTGCAGGGTCCGTTACATTAGGCCTATTCATTATTTATAATGAACAATTGTGTGTCCAGCCTCTACTCCTCTCTTCCCAGTCTGTCAGTAACGCTCTGTTTACTTCCTGTCTCTATGAAGCCCCTCCTCCTGAAAGCACACTGTGCTCTGATTGGTCGGCTGGAGCAGTGTGTTGTGATTGGTCGAGCGCTTCGAGTATGTTTGGGAAATGTCCCGCCCCTTTCCATAACCGCCAGTTTAACACACTACTAACTAACTAACTCAGCCAGCCCCCGCCCCTTTATTATGTGCATTAATTATTATAATGAGGAACATTGTGGCGTGTTCGTTCCCAGAAGAAACTCAAGACTACAATGGAGTTTATTTGTAGTTTTATTTTTCTACACTTGAAGGAAGAAATGCTCTTTTGTTCACCTTAAGTTAACTTTCTTATTATGTATTCTGCAAGTCCATTGTCCCATGGGATTGGTACTACATATTTAATCTACAAAACTACATGCCATGGCAAAAGCCGCTTAAAGAGTGTAAACACACCCCTGGTACGCCTCAAGACTGCATTAATCCACTGAAACATTTCGACTCGCTACACCTCCACACTTCAGACGAGCGCTGAGCACGGTTCATAACATCCGGTGATATGGCAGATCCAGCCGTCTCCTCATCCTCAGGGCTGAACTCCATTGTGTTGTTGAAAGACTCCAACTCATCAGGTATGTTCAATAATTCACGTGTAATGGTTGTAGAATAATGTCAGTTTCTGCTAAAGGTATTAAAAGTGCTTAGAATTATAATCTGTCCACTAACGGCCATGCATTAGACTGACTGTAAAACACGTTACAGCCAAAATGTTGTATTATCCACTATGGCTTTGTGCAAAACCTTTTGAAACATATCAAAGTTCAAACTGTGCACAAGTTTCCTTTTTTTCCAGAATCAGACTGTTTATTGGTGCTTCGTGATGCCCAATTGTGGTCCTTTTTACACTTGTGACCTGCACGTTTCTTTCCTCTGACCTTTAAGTCTTCACACATGACTCTCATTGGCTGATCTGTAAGCAGATTAATGTCTCTGACCCAATAGCTTCAGTTAGTCTGAGACATGAACACTTGCTTTTCTAGCAAATGTAAGTATAAGTAAAGACAACGAACAGGAGTAATTGTAAGAAAAGTAATTAGATACCACCAATGGCATGTTATCAGAATTTTTCATGTTTTTGTTGATCTAAATTATGAAATATCTACTGACAGGAAAGCAAAGAAAGTCAATTTTATAAAACAAAAACAGTTGTTTCCCCTCTCACACAGTGCTGTAATGCTGTTGTAATGATGACGCGGTTGAATCATAGGAGGAAGTGCAGCACACTTTCATTAAATAAACTCAAAACTTCTCAAATGCAGACACAAGCTCAAGAACAAGCCTCAGGAACAGAACAACCAACATCACAACATCAAGAACTACACACAGGGCTTAAATACAAAGACCAACATGATAACGAGCGGGTGTGGCTAATCAGAAACACCTGGGAAGACTAATAATCAAGAAAAACTACAAAGGACTACAAAACATGGCACAAAACAGGAAGTGACAAAATTCCCAAGACTCACAACAGCTGTAATGGGGGGTTTTGCATGCAATTCTTTATTCAGCCACCAGGTGGCGTCATTTATCAGTGGATCTGATATTACTGATTTTACAATTAAAGATGTTTATTATAGTTTCCTTGTGGCATGATTGCAAGTCTGCCTAAGTATTGGGTGAGGTCAAACATATTTTTTTTTGTGTTTTGGCAAAACATTCGGTTGCAGCTGAATACCAAACAAATAAACTAGATATAAATAAACTAAACTAATATACATCTCAAAACAATACACTTAGTAATACAGTAAAAACAAATAAGCAATAGCACAAATGAACACAACTGAACAAAGTTCAGAAATTCTAATCACTGTAAAATAACACTGGATAAATACAAGACATTTTTTTCTTTATTTTCTCTATTCACAAGCACAACAGAAAAAGTATTTTGTACTTACATTTAATACCCCTGGAACTCAATGGGAGTTGATGTGACAGCTGCGTAATTAAATCAATAACCATTAGGAAACACACCAAAGTATTAGACAGTTGCTTGCTGCATACTTGGAAACTCAACATCAAATGCAACCGGAACATGATATTTGATGTTAAAACATCTTAAACTGAGGGAGGATCTTTATTTTCTCATTTCACATCAGTGAACTGCAACACCCATGGATATGGCCAAGAGGTTAAACTCAGATTGAGAGGTCAAAGCACTCACTTTTCCAAATCTCTCTCTCTCTCTCTCTCTCTCCCTCCTCTCTCTCTCTCTCTCTCTCTCTCTCTCTCTCTCTCTCTCTCTCTCTGCAGTGCAGGATTGGACCACAGAAAAGGACCACGAGGGCCTCTTGCCATGCTTTAAACATCCATATGTCTCAGCAGTGCAGGAATTGGTGTATTGGCAGGAGCCGAAGAAGTCGTCGCTAGTGTTTGGCGGCTCGATGCTGGTGCTCACGTCTCTAGCCAGGTTCAGTGTCATCAGTGTCGTGTCTTACCTGCTCCTGGCCCTGCTCTGCGTCACCATCACTTTCCGAGTCTATAAGTCAGTCGTGCACGCGGTACAGAAGTCCGACGAAGGACACCCTTTTAAGTATGAATGCATTAGTTGTGTTTTATAAACCTCCTTTCAGATCTTTTCCTCCTAGATGCTGGACTCTTGGTGTGATGCTGCTTTGATAAAAAAAAGTATAATAAAATGAGATGTTTGTACATCCACAGATTTCTGATGGAAAGAGATATCCGCATTCCACCGGACACAGCCCACAGGTACATGGACATGTTTCTGGAGAAATTAAACACTGCCCTCATTCAGACCAGAAGACTTGTGCTTGTAGAAGATGTGGTGGATTCCCTGAAGGTATGTCCATTCATCTACAATAATTCATCAGTGTTTTCAACAGTTGCCTGATCATAATTAGCCTACTCCTCAATGCATCTAGTCCAGACCGAACTTCCCGACCAAAAAATGTTGTGGGCGGAGATGTTGTGGGCATCCAGGCTAGTAAATAACCATAGGGCCCTTTAAAAGAAAAGTGTTTGCTAAGAACTTCATTCATGCAGTTGTTCATCAGTCAGAATGGGAAATTAGTAACCGAACTGTGTCACAGTAAAGTGACTGACCTGCTGTGTTTATCTGCAGCTTGCAGCTGTTGTGTGGTTTCTGACATGTGTGGGGGCCGTCTTCAACGGGATCACAATTTTAATACTAGGTGAGCCTGTCTTCATGAATAAATAATAATAATAATAGTCAAAATAATGATCAAATATAAGTGGTTATATTGGTGGTTAAAGTAAATTCACATAACATACAGTACAGAAGGCATGTGCTAATACAATGATGATTTCTTTTAATATGATGCAGTACATACAAAAACTATGCATAAAATATAACGTTGATTTTTTTAATCCCCAACTAAATAACCCACCTTGTTTGTTTCATAACAAAACGATGACTGTAAAATGTTCTTCTTTTTCTTGGCAGCTGATGTCGTTTTGTTCTGCACACCGCTACTGTATGAGAGGAACAAAGTAAGAATGTGTTTCATATTTATAAACTTCTATGCTCTTGCTGTTGTTCATTTTATTTTTTAAGCTTTTTTTGATCTGTTATAGACCCAGATTGATGCTTATTTGGTGCGTGTGCAATCTCGGCTTGAAGAGAAACTGGCAAAGTATGTATGATTGATTTTTATTCCTCTTATAAAGCACCTTATAAAATAAAATCAAAGTCTAAGCACACATACAGTATGTCCAAGCACTAGACAATGCGTAAAATCTGTAATTATCGAGTAAAACTAAGCATGGGTGAACACAACACCAGAGACAGGCCCTTTCCTAATGCAGGAACTAATGGTCGTTTCAGCACGTCTGAAGAACGTCTCCGGTAACTAATGTAACCTCAGTTCCCTGAGAGATGGGAACGAGACATTGTGCGGGAACTCTTCTCCTTCTCCACTAATTCTTAAACCAGATAACACCAGTAAAATAACTGGCCAATTGTCTCAAATCAGATCAGATGTGCTGAACCAGCTTCCGGAGGAGATCAGATGCTCCAGCAAACACAGAACGCTCCCCTAACGTTCCCGAATGGTCCCATGAGGTTATTTTTTTGGGAACCGCAAACAAGAACGTTATAGGAACGTTCCATGTAGGTTATTTTTAGGTAAAAATTTGTGGAAAGACTTGCTCTAGGGACTGATCAATGAAATTCAGGATGTCTGGTAATAAGCAGTTCATAACCCTTTTGAGAGATTTGGGTAATGGGTCTAGAGCGCAGCTAGAGGGATTGATATGTGACATGATCTGTGTAAGTGTGCTGGGGCTGACAGCTGACGAGGAGGAGGACAGATTGCATTACAAAGCTGGGGAGTTGGAGACTTTACAAGTTGGGCAAGTGCTGCGAACGTCTTGTCTTATGGAAGTCATTTTCTCATAATTTGTTTTGCAAACTCTGATGATATTTGAGCTGAGGGGTTAACGTCTTTATTTATTTGTTACATTTATTTAACAGGGACATTCAGCCATACCAGAATTAGCTACAAGCTGAATTTCATCTGTCTTAATTATCACTCCCCTTTTTGAGAATGGGCATTAAAGTGCACTATTCAAACTTAAATGGTTATAATTGAAGAA